GAACCAATCTGCAATTGCCAAAATTCATCTGTATCTGGAGGAAAACCAATCCATACACACCAGGCAGACATGCAAGTTTACTATTACTGTGACTAGTTTCCCTATTACCTACTTTCTAGGTGACAAACTGAATGGATGTAAAGGCTTGGTAGGTCTCTTGAAAAAGCCGCTGGAAAAATGCCATGTTTATGCAGCGTCTATTCTTCTGATACTCGTTTATTGTAATAATCACAGTTGGAACTGTGTAAATATCAATTCTTTTCAGAGTTGCAAAGCAAAACTGCATATGTTGCTGCAGGATTGGTCCATCACATGGCGTGTCTAGGAAATGAGCTTCTCAGCAGTGAAGATGAAAGACTTTTGCTTTTCTAAAAATAAGGACAAAATGACTGGGAGAAGTCTTTATGGTTTCTGTGGAAGTCTCCAGAAGGCTCAGGGCATCTGAGGAGATCTTTGTCTTTCCCTGTTTCTTATTCTCACTCTTCTCCCTGGGTGTCCTCTCTCAGCTCTTCTACCTACACCCAAAACTATGCAGCAAGCTAATATGTACCTTGCTCTACTTCCCAGGATGCTGCCAAGCAAGTGGAGGTGGCAAGAAGCTATTGCTGCTTCAGGGAATGGAAAAGGCCTTACTAGTGAACCATAGCTAGTGGGACTTACTGTTCTTACAAAAACCTAGCTCAGCAGCAGGGAGTTCTATGAGAGATGCAGACTGGCTCTTCAGGTACTCCTCAGACAACTGCATCGTATCTCCCTTGTCAGAGGCAAAAAGGGAAGCAAACCTCTTTTGGCAGCCTTGGCTGCTGCCTACATGTAAAACTTGTCCTTTCCGTGAGAGCCAGTTGGAAAATTGGGAAGATGTACCTTCCAGTTGATTTGGGGAGGTTGAGATAAAATTCCCAGTAGAACTTAAGAGTTTCAGAAGGTCGGTAAGCATTTAGAAATTACATTGTTCTTCAATGCACCAATGTACTTCTTTGGGGACCTAACAGTAGATCCACTTGGTAGGAAATAGAGACTAACAAAACTCTTTTTATGAAGATCTGTTTGAATGAAACTTAACACGTTCCCTGGAGATCAGTAACTGTTATTTTGACTCCTCCTAAAAGCAATAGCTGAGCTGCATGTAAAATATAATATCAGCAGTTATGTCTTAACAGGGACTAAAAGCAACAATAAACAAGTGTTTAATGGTGGTTTTGATGTTGTTGAGATCAAATGGCTTGTGAATGCATTTTTGCAAAACATTCCAGCGTGGGAATCACGACAGAAAGTGCACAACACTCATGAGACTTGAGGATAGTTGTAGTAATGGATAAAAACGCATGCTACTTGAGAACAAAGGACGCAGTCTCGGGGGGAATGAGACTGCCTGAGCAAAGATGCAGAAGTTGAGACAAATATAAAATGCACCTTTAGATTGATAATAAATGAAGTTATATTAAGACATATGAAGCTTAAATGTTTCCTTATACATTGTTATACGTCAAGTCCACGGTAATCTGAGACTCAAACCCTTCTTTAGGAATCTCTAAGCAAATAAATAACCTTTATATAGAAGACAAAATCCTATGATGGAAATGTGAAAAATCCAATCAAAAGGCATCCCTGTTTTTTAAAATTATGTATCCAGGGAAGGCAATAATTGAATTAATACTGCTTAGTATTGACGTTCTACACTCAAGTACTCTTCTAAGCCTCTAATTCAAATTAAGTTGCAGTTAAATAAGAGTAATAGAAGATGGTTCCATTTAACCCTTTGAATTTGTGCTGTGCATATACATGAGAGTAATGTCCACTTTCTTTTCTGTTCAGGACTGCTGTGGGAAGATCCATTTCACGCTTGGAGGTCTGTCCAGACCACTAGATTCCCAAGAAGAAAAAATGTCTCTAATCCCAGTGCATCCAGTTTTGCTTCCTTCCATGAACAAGTTAATTTCTTTGTTGCAAAAGTCCTATTCACTGCTACACTTCATAAGGGAAGTACACTACTTCATAAATAGTATACTTTGTACTTTAGTGTAAGGTACTGCAAGTTACATTTAAGTAATTCCACCAATACAGCATCCAGATTTGCTTTATATTGACTGGTGGTAGTGGAAATGTTTCTTAGCACAATGGTCTGTAGATTGAAATTAAAAAAAAAACCACACACACAGAAGTGAAAAGTTTTGACTAGTTGGTAAGGGTTTTGCCACTGATACTTATTTCTTTCTTAGGGTTGGTCTGTGGACAGGCACGTGACAGGCACTGCAGATCTGACCGTTTGTCTCAGTTCCCAAACATGGGTGTAAGGCTGTGAAAGTGAAAAAGAATATGTAACAAAAAAGTAGGTAACTTATAATCTCTTTCACTGGCCTTCATAGACCGCCTTCTTGCTGCTCTATTACTAAGGATCTTACACTATGCATGAATTAAACCACGCTTGCTGGTGGGTTTAAGGCAGAGAGCAGAAAGCTGGAATATTGAGACTGCACTTTTGCCTCTCACCTTAAGACCTCCATTTGAGTATAACTCCGTTGTACCTAAGAATCAGAAGTAAGATGCTCCAGTGCAGAGCAACATTATCCTTATACAGTATGCAGCTGTTGAAAGTGCATATTGATCGCATTTGTTGGTTGGTGTTCAAGTTGATGTTATGGAGTATGTCTCATCTATGTAGCACCTGTGGTTTAATCAGTGACAGCAACATCAATGGTCCATGAAAGTTTGCAGGAAACTGGTAACTAACTACTAAGACATGAAATAGTCAGTATATTATGTGGGCCATGCCTAAATATAAAGCACATATTCACTTACTCTTTCATTCTGAGACAGTTTGTAGCACATGGACTGTTTTTGAATTTTAATTCATATTTATAACATGGATTGTATCAGATAAAAATTTTGCCACTGATTATAAATATGCTTCCTAGTAGTCTACCCAAAATGTGAATTTTTCTGTATTTTTCCTTAGTGGGCACCAACATTGCTGCAGTGGTAATGGACCATTAAAATAACTATACCCCAAATCAAGTAAAAAACATGAAAGAGGTTTTAAAGTGCTAAAAATTGAAGTCTCTGGAATACGTGCTCAGCTCAGTAAGGATAATCTTGGTCTGACTGAGTTGATATGAATAGGAATTTTTGTTACCTGGGTGTGAGGGTGTGAACCTGCTCATCATACACCAATGACTCATCAAATAGTAGGGATTTTCTGTTCTATGTTCAAAGTCTTCCTAGTGTTACAGTACCTTTGAGCTTTCTTGCATGGGCCCTTTTTCTGTCTGGAAATCTTGTCCAGGTGGCATCTGAGGATTTTGAATATTTTTCTGCAGTTTCTGAACGTCCCCCACACTGACAGAAGCAGGAGTTCCAGTCAGGCACTAGTTTTCCCAGACATTGATTTTCATTTTGCCTCTCTTCACCAGGCTACAGAGATTTCCTAGTGCCTAATGTGTCCTACTAATTACATACTGCAGTCTCGTCATGTTTCCCTTTCCCCCCCCCCCAGTTAAACAGACTTTAGAAGCTCTTAGAAGCTCTCTCTGTAACACGGTTTCTTCACCCCTCCAGTCACGGCGCTAGCGCCTGCTGGCACGCCGCTATTCGCTGCCGGAGGC